TTTCGAACATAAATAGATTGTATAGTTGGGAAGCAATTAAAATGCTTCTTTTTCATTTATGCTTTTTTTTTAAGATTCCACTTTCTGCTTTTGCAAATGTCGACAACATTATCAATAACTCTCTATGTTGTTCTATTAAAAAAGGCATAAGTATACTTTATGTACACACTTTCATTTTTGCGACTTTTCAGGATGAAGATGGTTTATAAAAACTAGACTTGTTTCAGAACTAAATATGCAGTTTTGTAGAGCGAAGCTCGCTCTATCGATTGACATGTTTCACTTAGAACAAGCCTAGTTTATATAAACAGCTTCCACTCTCAAAAGTCTTAAACACCTTTGTTTTTGCAACTTATGGGGGCAAAGTTTGTCTATATAAACTAGATTTGCTCTAAGTGAAACATGTCAATTGATAAAACGAGCTTCGCTCTAGAAAACTGCATATTTAGTTCTGAAACAAGTCTAGTTTATAAAAACCATCTTCATTCTCAATAGTCGCAAAAACAAAGGTGTTTACATTAAGTATACTTATACCATATTTACATCAGGTTGTAATCTTCGTTCGATATTAGCAGTACAGCGACGTTATAATCAAACATCGATAACAACAACAGTTGATCGACGTCGTCGTCAATCTTGGCAAGATTTTAATGAATATCATAGTGTACCTTATTATCAATATACTTGTGCTGTTCGAAGAGGATTTCATAAAAATATTCAATGTAATATGAATAATGAACATTTAATAAGTAAACAAGAAATTCTTTCCGATGTTGAAGAAGAAATAGTTGACGAAAATCAAATGAAAGGTTGTAGAAAAGAAACAGTTCAAGAAACAATACATCATTCATTAATATCACAAGATCGTGTTCATATATCGATTATGACACAAGCTTCTTTTCTTATCGTTGCAGTTGTTGAACCTATACATCTTTTTTTTTTCTTCTCAATAAACTATATAACTAGTGCTAATAGGTCCCCCTACTACCCCTCAGGACTTTGCAAAATTTCGAAAAGATTTCCGTGACTGATCGTGACCAAGCTCCAGTCACGATCACGATCTTTGAAAAAAGTCACGCATGGTCACGGCCGTGACCGTGACTGTGACTCACTGGTAGTCACGACGGTCACGTCAGGCACTAGTTCGGATATGTACTGAATCCGTTTCACCACATACTATTCATCGTCGATCGAGATCTGCTTCTCGACCACTTGTATCAATACTACGTCATAGTAGTGTACCAGCTATACCTCGACCGACTAGATTAGTTGAATCATCACATATTTATAAAAGTAAAGTTGATGGAAAAATTTATGATCTTAAAGAATTTACTATTCCACGATATTATCGATTGTACAATGATGTTAGTTTTCGAGAAATATACAATTTCTCACGTTTACTCGATGCATATTTGCAAACAAATCGAACAATTACAGAAGATTATTCAAAGATGATTAAAAACTTTGCATTAAAACAACAATTACCATCTCCTATAACAAGTGTCGCATAAACATTTTAAAAAAACAGATTCTTGTTTTGTTTTTTGTTTTTTTTTTTTTGAGATGAACTTATTTATATATTATTTTCTTTCAAACAAGACGGATATATTTAATTAGAAATAAAAATATATTTATATATTTTAATCGATTCTGAAAATCGTTTTTTATGTTATGTAAAGTCGTTCTGCTTTTCTTTTCTTTTCTTTGCATTTATATTAAAAACTAAACAAAAAAAACAATCATTTTTTTATCATCTATTATTCAATTTAATCGCAAAAACAACTTCAAACTAATTTTTTAATTGTATCACAGTATGCGATGCATAGTACGTAGTCATGATGAAATAGATTGGATGTTTAATGAAAATAAGAAAAAACTCCAATAGCTTTGATTTGTGACACTCACTAGAAACATTAGACCATAAGAATACTAAATGACCTTCATAACTAAATGGATTGAAAGGTCAAATTTAATTACAGAAGTTTTTTTACTTGTGTTAAGATATACTCTTACCAAATGATGATAGAGTTCTGAGCTAAGTTCATCATATTGTATTCTGAATTTTTTAGTGTCAGGAAAATTCTTCAAGAATTTTTTTTAATATTCTATAGAAGCCTTTCATATTAATCGATAAATCAAAGGTAAACAGAAGAAAATAGAAATGTCTCGTCTGAACTGTTTAACAAAATCTCAAGTTCAAAGTGTTATGATAGCTGCAGGAAAGAGATCACTTATTAAATATGATCATATTCAGTTTATTTTAGAATAGAAAAAAAAAGGTGAAGCTAATCAGTCTATAGCTACAGGAACAATGATGTAGCTTTTTTTGGCTGCTGTTATTGTCTGAACATTATAGTTAAAATATAATATTTCAATGTAAAAAATAACAAAACTCGATTTTATTCTTTTTGGCAATGTCAGAAACCACAAAAGTATCAAAAAAAAAAAAGAATAATATAAAGTATCGAGTATAACTGAATTCTTTTATGAAATCTTAGAGACTAATAAGTAAACAAAATTCAAATCTAACGAACCAAATACATACACATGCAACATACTATTCGTTGGTGAAGAAAATAAATTTTCGACCAATGCAAAGACAAAAATGTTCAAACCTATGTAAAAAAACAAAAAAGTATCTATCCCGGTATATTTTATTATTAATCTAATCCAAACTAAATTTATGTCGTTAAATATTACCATCATTAGTTTTAACCATTTTATTGAATTCAATTTTCATTTGTATATTATTCAGTTTCACATCAGTTTTTTTTGTTGTCATAAAATCAATATGTTTATTGCAATCAATCATAGAGTTGAGACTCAAAATCAAATTGTCTTTGTTCTTTTAGACAACAACCATCATCACAATCACAGTAGAATATATTACATTTACCAAAACTAGTGTATCTTACTTTTACAGATAAATCGATAGATCTTAAGATAGTATTTCACTTTCGCCGATATACAATGTCAATACGTAGCATGTAATAGAGAAGTACAGAGACAGATATTTTTTCATAAACGAGATATTCATGAGCCAAAAGCAGAGCGTTCCTTACAGGTAGAAATAAGAGGATTTGAATTCGAAATATTTTCTTGCATGAAACTGATTAGCAAAAAGCTTTCGATTTTCTTATTGCATTTTTCAATGTCAAAAAAAATTTTTTTTTGAGCAAAACAATGGTTGTTCTGTATATGACTTGCTGTCATAACTTGTACAATAACCACTTTTTATTCTGAAAAATTGAAAAAATCGAATTGAGCAGATCTATTTTATTTGCTCAGTTAGTTATATTCCTATTTAGGTTAACAGACACTATCTAGAAATATATTGCTAGTTTCATGGCCAATGTAATGCGCGAAATCTCAGGCTCTATTTCTCGATTTACTCTCCACTTTCAACGCTTACGCTTTCCTAATTGAGAAAAAAACTTATTCTTAACAATTAATGCTCTTTTGACTATTTATAAAGTCTATAAAAAAATCAACATTAGTTTAACGAAGTTATTATTCTTTACATGTTTGTCTTTGAAGTTCTATAGTCATAGAAAAGTGTGTTGTCGATGATCGTATGTTGTTTAAATTTGTTGAATATCGGTAATTGTAGTTCGTGATCATATTATGAATTATCGTTGATACTCTTAAATTTCATTTTCGGTAGGTTAGTTGTACTGTTGGAAAATATGCCATTGATGCCTTGAAGAGCTATTCTATGTAGTCATCCTTTACTCAATATTAGTATATTATTTATAAAAGCATGTTGCATTTTTTGCACTATTTTCAGTTCATAGCTTATGATAGTTCATTTTAAAGAAAGCTCATTAACATCAACACGTGTAACAATATCATTTACATCTATTAAAATGTATTAAGATTTCGCTTGTCTATTTTACGTTAATTCAATAGCCATTGAAAAAAATCTATCACGTATTTAATAAATGTATCATCAATATCTTGACGTCTAATCTCATCGGATAATATAACAAAATGTCGTTTTTCTTGACTCATCTTCATGTATATAATTCATAACTTTCACCAAGATTTGATACAATTTTACATATAGAATTTGACATTTATATTTATTATTATAACAAATGAAAGCTTTGACTTTTTGTTGCTTGTGATTCAAACAAAATATTTAACAGATTCATCTACACAGAGCAAACAAAAATGTTGGTTCTGTCTATTTTCTTTTCATTTTTTTTACGGAAAAAACGATGTGTTTGTATAAGGTACACTTGAGGAGTTGTTTTCACTTGTGCAGAAAAACTTCGACAGAAAACCGATGAATGGCGCATTTTGTTAACCGTCAGTAGTGCGTCTTTTCTCGCCTACAAAAAAAGTGAAATCAATATTCAAGTAAAGCGAAGCTGAATCCATATGAATTGATCATGACGCTGTGACATTTTGGTGTGGGTGTGGAGAGAAAATTTTTGAGACATTGCTGTGGAATATGCTAAATAAGAATGACAATAAAAAATACTTTCAATGAAGAAAACTCTAAAATCTTGTCAACTTTCGACGGTCACATTCTCAAGAGCTTTTAATGCAATACAGAATTGAACTGTGCAACCGACAACAACAAAATAGTTAGACAATACACGAGTTCAAACACTCTTAGCGAAGAAACCATGTTCAAATCGAGAGTTTCAACGATGCTCTGTGATATAACGTATGAAAAAAGATCCTTTAAAGTCGAATTGTTTTGTTCTCACCATATATGTGATCTTGTGACTCAAGATCATCAAGTCTGATTGATGATTCGAGATAATTTTGAAGAAATGTTTGTTCCTTATAGTCTTGAATGAAATATCAATCAACAAGAGGAATGTTTCAATCAACAAGGCATCAACAACGCTGTTGATTTCTTTGGTGTTAGAGGGTATTCTTAGTCATCGTTAGTGATTCAAATGTACTGTATCTGTATATTCTCTCATTTGACGATTGGTACCAGTGTTATCGACAGCAAGTATTCGATATTCACGTTGCAAGATAAACTACGAGAAGTGTGCTTCATTGATAGTCGAATGTGTGTCACTTATCGAACTTGTGCCTTTCGATGAAATTAGTATCCCTTTGGTTCACGCTCGTAACAGTATCTTATTTTCATTTATCTCAACTGCTTGACGATATTTGATAGTAGTGTACCGCCAATCCTGACACACTCATGACGTCACTGCTTATGTCTTTGCGTATTTTTGGTTACTTTTTTTAAGGCATGTCTGCTTCCAGTAAAAATGCAGCAAAATTAAAAAAAACTCGTCCCATTATGCTATTTCTGTTTCGCCAGGAAAGCAGTAATGCACATCAATGTACATATCGCGTGCAAATAACGGGTGGGGCAGAATAAATGGACCTCTCAGTATTTTGTAAGTATCTCTCTCAAATTGTAATGTATATACTTGAGTTTTTTTTTTTTTGAAAAGATAGCCCATGAAATTCTTTAAAAAACCTATATAAGAAGAGTGCTTCCAACGAATAGCTATGGAGTTATATCCGATCAACATTGCAAGGCTCCAAAAGAGCCCACTTTCAATGCATGCGTTTTCAAACTACTGATTTTGTGCCACTCTTTCGGCCCTACACAAAGAGACTAAACAGGCCATTTTGTAGCATATGAAAAGCTCTATTAGTTCAGCGAATAACTTTTCGTGACATACTATCAATTTACTCGAACAAAATCTTTCCTTTGTTCTTCTCTGTTCAAGTCACTTGAACCTTTCATTAAGGTTCATCACTTTTAATTTTGTTCTGTTAAATAGAAAATTATTATACATTCAGATTTATTACAAATTTGAAGAAAAATGTTTTCTCTATCATTTTGATATGGACAGAATGCTGTAAAGTGTTTTTCTGCAATGCTTGAGATGTATAGCAAGAATGATCAGTGGTTTCGACTCGTTTATACTAGAAGATTGGTCTCCGAAAGCTTACAATCGTTTCTGAGTGTCGTCTTTTAAGCTGGGTCAAAAAGAGTACACTTGAAAACATAGGAAGCTTGTTGTAGAATAGGGTTTCGTGTCTGTTCTGCTAGAAGAAATGAAGTCATTAATTTGTTAAAAATGTGGAATTGAAAGTGGGCCATTTTGAAGCATTGTAGTGTTGACTGGATATAACTCCATAGCTATTCGTTGGAAGAACTCTTCTCATAAAAGTTTTTTAGAGAATTTCATGGGCTATCTTTAAAAAAAAAACTCAAGTATATACATTACAATTTGAGAGAGATATTTGCAAAATACTGAGAGGTCGTCCATTTATTCTGTCTCACCCGTTAGTACGAAAAATCGGATGTATAGCTTGAAGCTTTTCTAATTGATTGACACTTCATTCGATGTCTCATTGATCAGTTAATGGAGTAAGCAATGAGGAACAACTTTTCTTTGAAGAAGAATACAGACGTGACTAAACATGTTGAAAAATATGATCGAATCATGTATCGAAACTGCTTTGAGAAGAACACCCTGTTACGCAGTTTTCATATATGAGTGAAGAAAAAGAAAAAAATTTA